AGAGGTATCCTGAAAAGTTAAATTTCATCCCTCATTATTGCAAATTATTCCCACAGCTGAAGTGCTTTTTGTCTTAGGCAAAATACCACAAATTGGTGCTGTACTCTGTTAGTTAAGGGAGGCTCAATCAGCATCGCTCTTCTGTCAAGGGAATGCCTTCTTTCCGCACCTGACACTTCTTGTGAAAGGGCTCTTACCTCAAACGGGAAAGTTTTCAACCTAAGGAGCAGCACCCAAGTGCTGCTGGCAGGAGGCAACCTCACTGGCAGCTTAGAGGTGCTTCAAGTACTCTACAGATTGATGTAGTTATTTTATTTCTTTCACTTACAAACCAATGATGCTATCAAACACTTCCACAGGAGATCAGGTAGCAAGGATTGAACTGTGGGAAGTAACATTGCAACTTGGCTTGGCAAATCCACATGCCATTGAAAGATTATTTCATTTTGAAACAAAAATATAAAATCATTAATTTACCCTCTCACTTACTTGCTCACAAGCAGACAAAAATGCACGTCTGGATAGCTCCACAGGCACGAGGATTCTGGTATCCAAGGGGTATGTCCAGGAACATTCGTGATGCCATAGATAGCAAATAATGGCTTCTACAAACCCCTCTGACGTATCCTTATGCTAGCAACCAGGCATTGTTTTTGAAGCTTTCTTACACCCTTCAGGAGCTGATGAGGGTCGGTCTCTCCACCCTGTCCCACCTGTGAGGCATTAGGATTGATTGGCTCACTCTGTCTCCTGCATTGGGTCGTCTGAGGAGCTGCCTGTAGAAGTGCTGGACGTTTTGTTGCTTCCTAGAATATGTGCCTTTTGTGATTGTGCTATTAGAGCAGGTTTGATAAAGAATGAAGCTCGGTGCCTAACATCTGTCTTTTGAGCCTTTGTGGTACTGCTGGGGAGGTCATGATGATACCTTCTGCTGCACTGAAGTGGTGCCTTTGCAAAAGCATCATCGTTTCACATCTAATGAATTACTAGCAGGTTTTAATGCCGGTGCCAGTTGATGGCACAGTCAGCAGGTCAAAGTGCCTTCAGTATTTTATGGTGCCCAAAAGTGTCAGTTATGTTCTCAAAGTTTAGTTATTCAAACCTCATACGTATCAGCTAGTAAACCCTAATTTCTTGCTTCCCAAACTTCCTTTCTTTGCTCTCTCCAGCAACCTACAGTTTTGCTAATGAGCACGCAGCCTCTGCACTCCTCACAGGACAGCTCTGGGCATAATTCCTGCAGGGAACCTCAGGTGAGGTGTTATTTTACCTCATGGGAGAAGTGTCCTGTTCTAGGGGTCATTTTTAGAGAATGCAGAAGGAAAGGACTTCACCCAAACCCTACAGACTACTGCAGCTTCCAGCCTACACACTTTCTGCCTGTCAAGAGGGTGATACAATCTTGCTTGTAGAGGACTGTACTGCTACAGCCCGTTAAATTGGTGTAGCTGTCCTTGTACATCTGCCTGGAATATGGGAAGAGAAAATGCTGTTGTTTAAGCACATAAGCTCTTCTCACAGCTGAGGCACCTTGAGAATCATTGCAACTCGAGGCCATTTTTAACTTTCTGCTCTAGCCATCACCTTGGCGCAGTTTGCCAAGGGTGGATAGAGAGGCTTCCAGTCTCACAGAAAACGAGCCTTTTTCTTGCTTGCCTTTTTTGTGCACATATTTTTAAGGCAAGGCTTAGTCCACTGGGGCCACAGGCTTACTTGCGGCTTTGTGGGAGGCTCATCGTACAATATTAATATAGTAAAAGCTACAAATAAGACCTTTTGCTTTCTCCCTTCCCCCTTTCCTGTGTCCTCTGCCATGGGTATCACTGCATTTTCTGGATGTTTATACAGTACCTCTTACATCTGGGAATGGTTACAGGAAAAATCAAGATAGGACAGATATTTTAACCGTGGAACACCAAAGAGAGTTTCATTTGTCATGAGCTGGAGTAATTAAAAGTCATTTCTGCATGTTTTGGATGAGGGATTCTGACTTCAGTCAGGGCATGAGCTGTGCAAAGTGCTTATTTTTATAGTTTTGACGTAAATCATGGAATGTTTTCCTTCTTAATTTGGAACATTTGCCCCAAATGTTCCAAGTCTGTGTAGATAAGTCCATGCTCTTTCCTTCCTTACAACATACATCCATACACGCTAAAGCTGCAGGGTTGACTGCCCAAGTTCAGCTGTACTGAAGACAGGACCGGGACTTCTTTTAAAAACAGGAATTTCCAACTGTTTCTGCTGGGTCACTGATCTCAAGTTAGATGCACAATTTTACTACCTGTTAAAATCCCTCTTCTGCTCTGCAGAAGTGCCTTTGGTCATTTGCTTAACAAAACAAACGCGCCTCCCTCCCCCAAATCCAGCACATATACAAAAATAATTTCATTGGTTTTATCTTTTTCTCTGGGGATATTTAAATTGCCAACTTTGCTGAGCTATGCTCTCCCCTCTCATTCTGTTTTACGGGAGATATTCTGTTACAGGGGACTCATGGCAAACTCACATTTTGAAATTTTCCAGAGGATTTAATATTAATGCACATTCAAGAGACCCAAGAAATCTTTCTCTTTTGAAATGGTAATATGCTATCAATAGCTTCTCGAGCTGGTATTGTTCAGCTTTCACAACTAGTTCAAAATACAGTCAGTGCAAACACATCTGATCCCAGGATGACAAAGATATATCATTTTCCAGGTCAATCACTGGCCCAGAGGATGGGCAAATGGTTGTTGGCTCTCCAACATTGATTTGAGAAAACAATTTCAAATCAACCCATGTAATTGTTATCATTTAATGCTGAACTAGGAACTCTGCATTTCCAGCTGTAGCTTCTCTTGCTCATAGAAGGTCCTGCTTGGTCACCAACAAAAAACTCTTGAAAACCATAGGGCACATCTTGAAACCTCTAGAGGCAGATGTGGGAACAACAGAAGCTTTGATTTTGTTTTAATCTAAGTCATTGTTTAGGAATCAGTAATTACAATGAATGACAATGCAAAACCTTTCGAACCCATGAAGCCTGTTACAAATGAATCCACACGTAAGAAAAGGGTTTGTCACATGCACACTTTACTGTAGTATTGGGTGTGCTTTACCACTGATAAATAGAGCACAATTAAATAGTGCTTTCCTCAGTCCCTATGGGTTGTGTCTGTGAAGTCACTGTGATGACCCAGCCAAGGATAAAGGTCAGGTAATGCTCAGCACAACCAAAGAATGGCAAAGAAGGCAAATGAAGCCTCGCTTCAGGAGGCTCCTTTTCCTTCAAAATCCCACCCTGGGCACATGCCACAGCCTGTACACTGCTCCTGCCCTTGGGCTAGCACAAGTGTTTAAGGCCTGCATGGTACATCAGATCAGGGATGTGATCTGGCTAGGAAAGAAGGAATATCTCCTTCATTCCCCTGCAGCCATTTCCTTAATTGCTTCTGGAAAATATGTACAGAATATTATATGTGCAATCTCAGCTGTCAATCTTTGCAGCCACCCAGAGTCAGAAATGATGGTGCAATATAGCTGCCAATCCCCTCAAGTTGAAACTTGGACTTAGTGTTTAACATCCATGACAAGCCATCAATTAAAATGCACTAAAATCCAACTCTCAAAACAGTTTAAGTGATTAATATTTTGAAGCTGCTCATATAGAAACAAAACATGCCAAAATGTTGGCTAGAACAAGCAACTTTGCACAACAATTTGTTTTACAGAGAGTACTCATTTGTTACAATAAAAAGCATGATGCAATCACCATTTCATTATTAAATGAGTACTTTTTTTTTTTTTTTAAGCAAATGTGGCAGATATATCTTAGTAGCAATAGGGGATTCTTAGCAGACCTGTGCCCGAACGGTGTGTTGATGCCTGCACACCTTGCTGTACAAGTCTTCTGTCAAGAGAGCAAAGATTTAGCCTGAATCCGGCAGCAGTGATCGCGAATGCCTGGCTGTTAGTATGCCTGAATAGGATTCATTTGCAATCAGATCCACAGTGTGGCTCAAATGGAAAGTTGCCTGGTAAATTGGTGTCATTTAATGTAACTAAGACTAGTCCCGTTCCTGCTGCAGCCGCCAGCAGATTGCAATTTTGTCAGGGAAAGCGGGATCAGGCATTGTTGGCTGGTGCCTGTATTTCTGCTGAGGTAAGGCATGCAAGCCAGAAAGATACCCCAAAATGGTTCTATAGAAATATCCCCCATTCCTTTTTTTTTTTTTCCCTTTTATAAAAATACAGCATACTTTTTAATCAATTACCTGTCTTCTATAGCTCCCAGTGTTAGTGGTTTTATATCCTCCACTGATTTAGAGTCGCTAACTTTGATATTACTGCAAGTGTTATGATGTTTATTGATTTTTTGGAAGCATCATCTCCTGCAGTCATGTGAAAACAGTTTCCAGTTCACAAAGTAGGAACGTTCCCACCTCTGCTGCTTGCAAAGGGAGGTGCAAGAATACACAGTAACTGCTGCAAGCACCGGTAATATTACTGATGATAATTCTTATCATTACAAATAAGAATAAATTTCTGATTTAAATCAGGAAGCCTCACAGATGTCCCTGATTGACTTTTGTGAGTAGGTGGCAGTACCAGGTAATAAGCCAACTCCTACCCTATGTGACTTTGCTGGTCCATCACCCCACAGCACATATACTACACTGATTTATACCATGACAGACTTACAGCCTTATAAACACTTCCCCAGTTCTGAAGGCCAGTGTAAGGAACTAATTTGAGTGAGTGATACTGAGTGCTAATCCTACAGCACTCACAGTTCTCCAAGAGTTCATACCATCTGCACCCATAATGCTGCTGAGATGCCAAAAGCTGACACAGTTTGGACCCATTCCTCCTTTTGGCCTAGGAGTGAGCACAATGTTATCTTTTTCCACTATCTGAAAGAGGCAGATCTGGTGGCAATTTAAGGATCGTATATTATAATAGGCTATGGAAAGAATAATTTGTGCCCTTGAGCCATTCTCAGATCTTTCAGCAAAATCAGACGTCTAAAGGAAAATCTAGTTCTTTGGAGAGCCACAGGGATTAGTAACACGCCCAAGAGGACATAAGGGCCAGACATGATGGGATTAGCGTGATCCACAAGCATGGTTTTGTCATCTGTGACAGATTCAGGCATATACTTCATGTCTCTGTGTTTTATAACAGCCATCTGGAAGTGCAAATGGGAAAAGACCAGGGTATATTTCTATCACAGCTCTGGTTTGTCTTCTTGCAGACAATAACATCACCTCTGGCTTTTGCACAGAGCTGTGGGACGCCTTCTCTGCTGCTGGCTTGCACCACTCCTCTTTCTTTCTGATGAGATGAAAAAAAAAAAAACCTCCTCCAAACCATCTCCTATGCAGAAGGGAGCACTCCAGCATAAACTGCCATTTTAAAAGCCTTTCTTGATGTTGTACCTCCTGGAAGCTGAGCCTCGTGCAAGCCTCTGTGTCCTGATGCAAGCCTATCTGCTCCAGTACAGGCTCAGGATGGGAATAATGACTGGCACACAACCTCTCTGAATGACATTCAGGTGATTTTCAGGCAGCATGCTGAGCCCTAACACTGCCCATGCAGGGTTAGGTGCCAGGTTTTGAAGGCATAAAGCAACTGCAAAACATAAAGAGGGGAGGAGAACCTGACACACTGCAGTGCCATGCAAAGACCCCCCCCTCTTTTGGCCCTAATACATGCCTAAAACCTTGCCATAGCATGCAGTAGACCTTGGTATGCGTAACTCTGAAAGAGGGGGAATATTCCAATAACACTGCAGCCAAGATAATCACAATCATCAAAAATATGCCTCTGGACTGGGGTGGAGTCCTCAGTCCTGCTGGGCATTTGTTGAACTGTCAAACAAGATTAAAAAAAAAAAAAAAAAAAAATACCTGGTGCCCCCCTAGGATCCTGCTGCATTCATGCAAGGAGTAACTAAGACAGATCTGCAACTGTTGGCTTTTGCCTTCTGCCCAATGCTAGGATAACCTCCCTCTGCCAGAAGAAAACAAAACAAAACAAAGGCTGCCTGTTCATTGCTCCAGTTGGGACAATTCCCATTAGAGACAGCAGGATCCATCTCCGGTTCCCTGAGAGCATCGCAATGGGCAGTCACGGTTAAACAGTTGACCTAAGGTAAAGCTAACAAAATCTAACATGATCTAGGTATTAAAAAAAAAAAAAAAAAAAAAAAAAAAAAGGCAAAAATCTTTCCCCCTGTCCAAAAGGGAACAAGACCACCCAACCACCCTGAGTTGGTGTCAATACAGGGTTTTCAGTCCAGCTCCTTCTTGTAACATTTGATGATTCATTAAAAAAAAAAAAAAAAAAAAAAAAAGAACAGCAGAGGATTCCCTAGTGGGCTGTAAGACCTCCAAAGAACTTTTGACAGCATCTCGAGATATTATTAAGTTTTCAGAATAGGTATGTGTAGCACAATAATTAGTTCCCCTGAAGAGACCCCAGTAATTGATGGATTTTTTTCTGATGTCTCTTATGAAAGTATGAAATGGCTCCTCATACAAAAGCAGCATTGGATTTTCACTCTACATGCCAAACAAGCTAAAAATCAATATTAGTGCCTGGCTGGTAAATTCTGACACACAAAGAAGTCTGTGCTATGTGTCAGCAGACAGATTCGCAGCAGTGGAGGTAGTGTGGGCTTTGCCCCAGACCTGAATAAAGGAGCCAAAGGCAAAGAAATCCATGTGCCTGCTGAGAGGGAGGGTGCAGGTGAGGAGGTGGTGGCAGCGTGTAATTCCCCTTGATCTGCAACTGGGATTACAGCTGCTACTCCAGCCTCCAACAATCACCCTCTGTACATCTTAGAGAAACCAGAGAATCCTCATCTGGAGCAACAAGTTACAAGCATCGTCTTATAAAGCCAGTTATTTACTTCCAGTGGTGCTCCAAAGTGCTCAGAAACTAAGTGTGCAATAAATAGGACACACTCCGCCCAGTGGCACTGCAAACATGTTAGAATAAATACCATATGGGCTCCGTGAGTTTTAGGAGTGGGGAGGCAAACCAGCCAGTCAGGCAAGCATTGAGAGAACAGCTGGGGGACGGAAATGATTTTCCTCGCCTCGACCGTCGCGAGTTTCTGCTGAAGCTGCTGCAGAGCGTCAGCTAGTGCCAAAGGGAGGGAAATGTTTTGAGAAATGAAAGTGGGACCCAGGAGAAGGGCAGGAACCTGCCGGAGGAATCAGTTTGTGTGAAAATCCAGCTCCTTTCCTTGAGACGTGCAGCTCCCATGCTGTTTTTAATACAACTATTTTTATGATAGCACTATATATAGTCAAATAGTACATTGCTGTGACTGTCCTAGTGCTTGTCAGTGATCAGAGCACAGGCAAAAAAATACATAGCTGGATTAACTCCGTGTGGCGAGACACTACTGACTGTCAAATTCACCTCAACCCATGGACTATCCCATGACACAGGTGCAGTTAAAGATTTTTATGAGTGTATGTAACATCCACCAGTGTCTGGCCCCATGGCCGCCCCACAGCTCCTCCATCACATGGCCCATGGCACTGTCATCGGGGTCTGTCATCGCCAGTGGGGACCAGCAGCATCCCACAGGAGCTAAGAACAGCAGCATTTCCACAGAGAGACAGATAATTTCCTTCTCATTAGTTACTTTGACACGAGAAAGTTATCATCACTCCCTGATCTGTCAGCAGAATGACAGAGCGGGGAGTTGTTAAGCCTGATACAGGTTTTAAATTATGGAAATGGAAAGACCATTGCTTTGCATGAAATAACTCCAGCAGGAAGGGAGAGAGCACACACACCTCAAGCTGAATGTCCTCAGGGAAAACAAAGTAATTATTTTGTTGCTATCAAGGAGATACCAGGGTATTTTCTTCCTATTTCTAGGCTTCGAAGATAATAGCAGGAGTTAACAGCAGCAAGACAGAGTCATTAGCTGATGAATACTCCAAAGCACTGGGCTAAATCAGGCCCTTTGCAAGAGAGAGCACACAAGATTTCTTAGCAGTGTGGGCTCAATTGCAGCCATTAGGACTTGTTCATCATGCTAAGCCAGAGACCGAAGGCACCTAAATAGTGCTGTATGAGAGGAGCTGGATATAGAAGAACTAGGAGTGCCTTTTCCCACACTAAAAAGAGACTGAACACATCCAAGAAGCACTGTCTCTGGATGAGCAAGGAACACCACCTCTGCTCCCTTCACCCATCCAGGTGCACGGCAGGTCACCATGCTGAGTGACCCGGGGGCTGCTCTTAAAACAGCTTTTATCTAGAGTAGCACAACACCAAATACAGCCCCAGACCTGGGCCTGTTGCCACGTGTAGAACTGCGCCAGACGTGTCCCCCCCCCTCTGCTGGGTGCTGACAGCACAGAGCGTGTGCAGGAAAAAAACTCCTAGGGACTGGGGAAGGGCTTTTCCCTCTTCCCTCTCCGCTGGGTCTGGCAGCTGTCTGCAGGTTTCTGAGCTCTCGCTGCCCTGTGCACTGCAGAAGGAAGCGGCCTCTGTGGCCTCCTCCGGTCTCTAAATCACAGCAGCTAACAGCCCTGCTGCCATTGCAGGCAGCGGAGGTGGTGCTTAAAGACCAGAGGCAGCGTTTTGGAGCAGCAAAGTGAAAGCAGGGGGTAGTATTTATTTACTAAAGGGGAAGAGGCTTCTTCCTACTTCTAGGAGTCCCTCTACATCAGTAGAGGCTTTTCCCCTAGATGGAAAAGGGAGCTTGAGGGACCAAGCTCTTTGCTGAGATCCTTGTACCCTTGCATGGAAATCGTGGCACACACCGGGTGCTGCCTCCTCCTCCTGCTCCTCTCTTGGGCTCTGTCTCCAGCTGTTTCCCCGAGGCCGGCAGGCTGCCCTCGATGAGTCAGCGACGTCTCTCACTGCAGACTTCGCGGCTCTGCTTCCAGCCAGAGTTCATCTGCTCGGCTCGGGTGGTGGCGAGCTGTGAGAGCACTGGGGTTGATTTTCTTTATTTATTGCTCCGAGCTCCTGGGATGCCACAGTTCTACAGATTTATGTCCTTGGAGAGAGGCAGCTTGCTTTCTGAGAGACGTCCCATATAACTGAACCGTAGAGACCATGCTCAGCATTATGCTGCCAGCCTTTGCAATTAAGAGGACATTACAAATCCTTTTCCAAGGGAATCACAGCCTTTTGGGGAAAACAAAACAAAACAAAAACAAACAAACAAAAAACCACTCCAAGAGCAGAACAAGATTGCACTAAGATTCATGGACCTTGAGGCCAGGAGAGACAGCTGGATCACTTAGTCTGGCTCAGTGGCCCTGCAGCCATTGCTCTCCTCTCTGCTGTGCCTGCACAGACTGCATAATGCAAGTAACGCAACGTGGCACAGTCCTCTGCCCCTCAACAATCACCTTTGCTTTCAGTACTTACAATTAATCACCTCTGGTGAGTTTATATAGAAGGAGAAAAAAGAAAGAATATTGTGCCTTGCCTCTAACATCCTTGCGTACAGCTTCCAGTTCTTGTCATGCTTCCAGGAGGTTCAAGTGCTCCTCAGCTTCTGGTGGTTTTCCCGTGAAAGCCTAGATTTCAGCTGTCAATACACAGCACTGGCAGGACTTTTCTCTGCACCTTTCTGAAAATCCAGACACAAAACTTGCACAGCGTATTTCACACCTTTAACCTCTCACGCAGCTGAAAGCAAGTCACCGGCTCCGCTTGCAATTCTCTCAGCTCCAGGGCACATGCTGCTGCTGCCACTGGCAGAGCAGATGAATGCAGCACCACTTACTAACTAAACATGCAATCTTATCTAAGAGTAGAACAAGGCTTGTTTCTTTCTTTCTGTGTTTTTTCTTTTTTCTTTTTTTTTTTTTTTAAACAAAGAAACAGCTGCTTTGGTCCCTGTTACAGAGGCTATATCTATGTATTTGAGCATGCAAGTTATCGCACTGCATTTCAGAAACACTAATTACATTACAGCTTTCAGCAATGAAACCTCTTCTGCTCATTAGCTAGGCTTGCACCATTGATACAGTAGCAGGGTATAAATCTCTTTGCATTTGTCACGCTGGATTCCATTTGTTTCCAATTAGGGCTTTGTATCTCCTGCGCTACCTAAAGCCCTTCTACCTGCTCTGGCAGGCTCCAGCCAAGGTGACTGGCACCCCTCACCAGGAGGGACAGCATGGTCCCCTCCCCACATTTCACAGCCCATCATTCCACAAAGCCCAAGCCTTTAAAATTGTTTCAGTTACACAATAGGTGACGTGTTACCTCCCCTCCTTTCCTCTTCACTGTTTGCAAGCTGAACACTTGGATTTTTAATTTCTTCCTTTTTTTTTTTTTTTAATTATAATTTTTCTGAGATCCATCTTTCTTAGGACGCTATTCCCATGATTCCAATCCTGATGAACTCAGGAACCGCACCTCTACACCCACACACTTAGAAGAATTGGAATACAACTACATTGTGGAACGTCACACAGACCTTGGGTCTTTTCTCCTGCCGACTGTCCTACCAGTGCACACTGCTACAGAGCTTCTCTCTTCAGAGGACCTTTTTTTTAATCCCAGCACACATTTCTGCAGTCCGCTTCTTTAACTTTGCCAGTGACCATCACCAGCTGCTTTTTGCACATGGCTTTAATTTCCTGCACTGACCCTTTTGCCAAATAGCTATTCCTTCATCGCATAGGAAATCCTCATTCTCTTACTGAGCCTTTTAAGAAGAGAACAAGGCCAGGGCCCTGACCCTGAGGCAAAACTAGATCTAATGATGGCCAAGCAAATCCTGCTGTGTGCATTTAGGGATGCTCCGCTTCTGGGCAGAGCTGGGTAAGGAGGTCAGCATTGTTTCAACTCTGTGGGAAATGGCAGGGTCACAGATGTGGTCTCACTTGGCATTCAGGTGTCTTCTGCGTATGATTAGGGCTAAATCCAGGAGAGGATTTATCTGTTTCTAAATTAACTAACACTTAAGTAACACTTGGTTCCCTGATGCCAGGTGTCAGAAGTGAAAATCAGATGCAGAGTTAGGATCTTCTTACTCCCTCTACAGTTACCAGGGTAAGAAAGAGGTCTTTGAATGAGAGCCCAAACAAGCCACATGCAGTCACTGAAGCCAATCTGCCAATAAGAAATGCTGACCTGAGGTTTGCAGCTGAATCTTGGTGGCTTCTTGGTGGGTTTGCAGACCCCACTTGAAGCTTCAGCAAGGCTTGCTTTGCATCTGCAGCTGCACGAGAGCACACAGCTCTGCCCCTGCTGCCTGGCCTCTGTGACACCATTGTCCCTTTGGTTGGCCTCCAAATAGCTCTTCCACACATCTAAGCTTGTCACCCTCTCTCCTCAGCAGCCAAGTCAGTCTCCTGTGGCCCAAGTACAACAAGTGCTGGGGACGTCTGCTCGGCTGACTGTGAGAATCCTGCCTCACTGAGCCCCACGGGAGTCAGGGGTTATTTCCCAATCCTTCCCATGGCCTGCTGGCTTCTCCTGCTGAGCTTGCTGTCACTGTCTGTCCTCCTCATTATTGGGGTCTCCCCCTCATCCTCCTGAAAGTCTTCCCACCACACTGCTCCCTGACCCCACTCATCCGTGCTGCATTCCTGTCTTCCTCCACTCTCCCGCCTCACTACGCAACAAAGCCTCTGCAGAGCCCCATTCTTGATGGTTTCACACCCCACCATTCCTTCATCAGGAAGGAAACGTACCCATTTTCTCTTCTTTTGCAGCGTTCCACCTCCATTTCTTTCATTTTTTTTTTTTTTTTTTACTCTTGTGTCAAATTCATGGTCTCGATATTCAGCTCTATTCCTCCCTTCTTTTCTGCTTTTACACTGCGCCATGTCCATCCCTCTCTTCAGACCCCATTTCCCCAAACCCTTCCGAGTGAGCAATTTGAATCTAACTGCCTTGGAGACTATTTATTTTAATAGGTATATCCCTTAGTACACTGGATTAATATACCTGCTTATCTCTTCTCCCAGAGATAATTTTTTACCTTGTAAATTAAACGGGGAAAGGAAAGTCAAAAGCCAAAGGAATAGATTCATTTTCCAGTTGTCTCAATGGCCCCTGCAAAGGTACATTTCACAGCACATATATAATTGCATAGATGATTAGTGAAACAGCTGGGGCAATGGAAAGAAGTAAGGCTGCTATAATTTGTTGAGGTAGTTTACAAGTATGGCTAAAAATCATGCAGTTGTTGTCCTACAACAGCCTGTCCTGTAAACCAATAAATATTCCTATCAGTCCATTAGCTGCCATGCACTTTTTCTGTTTTCCATTTCTTTTTTTCAGAACAGCAGCAAATACATATTTTCCCTGGCAGGGGCAGAGGATGTCCTCACATGTACAATTTCTTGTTCTTATTGTAGCAAACACAAGGGCCTGCAGGGAAAACTCATTGGCTTCTTGTGCCACTGCCCTTTTTGAGATCAGAGGGCTTGGTGTAAGGCCACTGAGGTCAGGAAGGTCTCCTGAGTCAACTGCCACTATAGAGTCAATGAACACAGAGAACAACCACTTTGTGTTAAGAAATTTTTATTTGTCCTTTGGATCTGTAATGTAAGCACATAAAATTACAAGTGGAAGAAACATCATGCCACAAAATTGCATAGAATTTTTACAAAAATGTGAATTATGCCTCTGAAACAATCATAGATTGAAGAACCAAAAAAATATGTACAAGTTAACTGAAATATTTCATCCTACTTTGAAAGCAAATCATCAAGGACTAATCAATCACGGACACTATTAATACAATGTACAAGAGCAACACTGATTTCAAAGAAAGGCAAGCAATGATGTCCCTTTAGTTATCTTTCAGTGAATGTTTAGCTAATACATGAGCATTAATTAACATAATTATGAACATGTTAAATCTAAAATGTCTGGCCTTCATTAGAATTTTTAAAATTCTGTTTAAACTGCCAAAAACAAGCTATTTTCAGTAGTGTAAAGATATCTGAAGTGCACAACCTAGTTTAATATAGACAGCTCTATTCTATACAGCATAAAGTCCACGATACAGCATTTCCACACATTCAACACGGAACAAGGCAAATACATAAAAGGCACAAGACTTGCACATCATAAAGACCCTTTTTCATTATCTTACTCTAGTTCAAGTAATATCAATATTAAATGATATCTGTTTCACTGAAATAGTTTGAACAATGCAAGATGTACAGTATTACACACTACCTTACACCTGCAGAAAGTGGCACTGTACAGATATAAAAAAATGTGAGTACAGTAAATGGTCAAATACAAACGTACTGTAAAATGACTACAGCTGATAGTATACTTAATCCAACCAGAAGTTTTTTTTTCTTTTTTTTTTCTTCTTTTTTTCTTTTTTAAAATATAAATAAAAGGTTAATTGGTATTTCCCCAACTTTCTTTGAAGACTGTGGTGAAGTCCTGGCTCCGCTGAAGTCCATGGGAATGTAGCACTGAAATTCAAAGGAGCTAAGATTTTACCTAAAAGCCTGCACTGTACAATGAATTCTATAATGCAATAGTCTTCAGTTTTATTGTGAAGACTGCTATCAGTTTATTCTTTTAATTATTTAGACAGTATGTCATTTTTACTTTATAAAATGCAGCATTACATCTTGACTCTTCATTTTCCATGAATGATTAAGCTTGATTTCAAAGTGCAAAATAAAGATTTACAGAGGATTCACCTTCTCTAGTATTAAGATGGAAATGAGATTGTTGAATTTTATGCTCATTAATTTCATCATCATCAATCAGAATAGTTTTAATCCAAAATATGATTTTCAAACAATGTGCAATTTTATTTCTGCTCTAAATTTAAAAAGAAACATCAAAATACTGTTTGTCGTCTATGATTTGAACTTATATATATACACACTTACTTAACTGAAATTTTAAGCTTGATTTGTATTTTATTGCTTAAATTTAAATAAAATAAGTTACTTTAAAGTACTAAAATCCTGAGGGAAAGGAGGTAAAGTAACTTAACTGTTATAATGTATTTAAATGCCTTTCTACCTAATTTACTTCTTTCTCTGTTTGCTTTTGAATACAAAGTAAGGCCCCAATCTTACAAATGTGTGTGAACATTATTACCCCAAATAGTTCCACTGAACCCAGTAGTACGCAGTGTTAGGTTGTCGATGGGAATTTGCAGGATCAAGCCGCTCCATGCAAATCTGTTTTTTGCCGTAATAAACCTTTTCGCTACGTGGCTGAGGGAGAAGTCTTTAGCATCACGCAGTGGCTTGGGGACAAATAAGAATCCATCTGTAATGTTTCATAATTCCTACTTCTGTTAATATCAGATGCCAGAGAATAGCATTTCTTTACCTTTCCAAATATCCTGACTTTCCTGAAGTCTCTCTGTTGTTTGATATAAATTTCTGAAAATGTGCTGTTACTTCTCTCATGCATATCATACAGTACATTAACTTTGATTGTTCTTATATTAAGAAGTCAGTTAAACGGATTAATATACATTTTTAAATAACAGTGATCAGGTTTTTATATTTTGCTTTTAAATTTCAGACCTTAGTAAAACTGAACCTCAGTCTTAAAAATAATGGAAGATTCTGTTAAATTTCAAATACTGTAGTCCTAAACATTTTATAATCCTATCAAATTCAGTAAGCTTAAAATATGATACTTAAAATCAATACTTTTGTGTCTGCAAAATATATATCAAATTTATATTCTAAATCTACTTTGATTTACAACACTAACACCACAAAAAGAATTTCATGATTCAATGACTATTTTATATCAGTATAACCCAGATGTTAGCTTTCATAAAGACTCTCTATTCACGTATCCCTGAAACTTTTCATTTGGCCAACAGACCATGCTGACTTCAAACAGAAACATGCCATGTGTGTATATAGACAGATGTGTGTGCACATATATATATATATATATATACAAACATATATGCACCCACACAGTGTAACAAACACAGACATACACAGACACTGACAATCTCCAGGCAAATTTCTTCTTTTTGTTTCTCTCTCGTCTCCACAGTTCCAAGAATTTTCAGCAGCAAATATATTTCTTTCCACATGATAAACATAATATCAAGACAGCAAGCCACCAGTGCTTGCAAAGCTAAAAAGGATTAAATGTTTCAGTGCAAATGTAAAATGATGGTACAGCTGTCAAGGTGCAGTTATAAAGTAGGAAACAAATACAATTAAGTACTGTTATAATATTCTCTAGGATCTGTATTAGTTTGGAGCACTTTGCACTGGCACTTCAAAAGGAAATCTGCACACATTTGTCTCTGTTCAATACACTGGTCTTCATTAAACATTCTCAACAGTGAACATGGCCAGAAAATTACCCATTGAATATTGGCCAAAAAAAAAAAGAGAGAGAGAGAGAGAGAGGATGATTAACATATTAATTTTTCCATTACAACTGCACTAAGCTTTAGCATAATAATAAGAGGAAGAATGAGAATGAAGACCTTTGCACAATACTTTATAAAACGTTCCTTTTGGGAAACGTGCACTTGAATGCAGATTCCTCCTGCCTTCCGAAGCACTTCAGTGGCAGCTCACTTTGGGAAAGCAGAGCCAGGCAGCTGGGGAGTGGTGCGCCCTGGTGCACTGATTGTTGCTTGGGCAGTTAAAAAGTAGTATCAAACACTTTTTCTGAATTATCTTCCTCCAATTCCTCTTCACTTTGCAGAGGTTTATGATTTGATTTTCCACTGTCAGATGCCAGGGAAGAGGGGGCAGAACTGTGGTCTCCATCTTCACTGATTTTCCCTTTCATGGCTTCCTGTACAAACTCCAGAATTTCCAAAGGCAGTCTTTTGAATTTGTCTTGATATTCCTGATCAAGTTCCACCTGCAACTGCAACAAAACAAACAAGCTGTCTTCAGTTGTATCTGATGTGACTTACCTTAGATACGGTTGGGGAAAGTACCACATGAGGGGCGGGGAGGGAAATTAATAACTCATTTCTGCATGATTCAAAAATATATTAATTTCTTTTCCATATTAGCACCACAATTATAATATGCCCATTAATAACCATGCAGTCATTGCAAAGCTGAAGGAAAGTGCAGCCCT